AAGTGTTGAAGAAAGATGAGGCCCATTTTATGGCAGCTACTTCTTCTCAAAAGTCTCTGATTAATCTAAATGTGTTAAGACTGACACAGTTCAACTATCTCACGAACCGGCCACAGTTTGTGAGAGCACGTGACGGTGTGTCTGACCGTCTCATGTGTAGTGCCCCCCCAGGGGACTGTCCTGGCCCCCTTCATCTTCACCCTCTACACGGCAGACTTCAGACACAACACGGACAGCTGTGTTCTGCAGAAGTTCTCTGGCGACTCTGCCACTGTCGGCCTCATCATTGATGATGACGCAGAGTACAGAGGACTGACACAGAACTTTGTGGACTGGTGTCTGCGAAATCACCTCCTGATCAACGCGGGGAAGACCAAGGAGATGGTCGATTATAGCAGACGGCGGTCTGCCCTCCCCCCTCCGGTGAACATCCAGGGAATGGTCATTGAGAGAGTGGCCACTTATAAGTACCTGGGTGTTCACCTGAACAACGACCTGGCCTGGACTCACAACACAGATGCTCTATACAAGAGGGGTCAGAGCAGGCTGTACTTCCTGAGGAGACTGAGGTCCTTTGGAGTGACAGGGCCCCTCCTAAAGACTTTTTATGACTCTGTGGTCGCGTCAGCCATCCTCTACACTGTGGTCTGCTGGAGCAGCAGCATCACTGAGAGGGACAGAAAAGTTGGACAAGGTGATAAAGAAATCCAGCTCTGTCCTGGGCTGTCCTATGGACTCAGTGAGGGAGGTGGGAGACAGAAGGGTCCTGGCTAAACTGACAGCTATGCTGGACCATGAGTCACACCCCCTGCACTACACCCTGTCAGCCCTGGAGAGCAGTTTCAGTGACAGGATGCTCCATCCCCACTGTGTGAAGGACAGATACCGCAGATCTTTCCTTCCAGCGGCCATCAGACTGTACAATGAACACCGTTGACTCTGTGCAATATATCCCATGTGCCATTATTACATCTGTGCATAATTTTCATTTGTGCAATTATCATAAGTGCAATTTTACTAATATGCATTTTACTAATGTGCAATTATTGTATAATACAGTTTGCTATATCTGACTTATGTGCATTGCCCTTCTACAACACTTTTATACTACCAGTATTTATTTATGCCGCAGGAGACTGTAAGGCATAGTCCTTCAGTCTTATTTAATGTACAGTAACTTTGTTTTTTGTTTTTTTATTTACTGTAAGAACGGTACTTTCTTGTCTGACACTTGTTTATGCTACTTTGTACACTTATCTATCTCTGCTCTTGTCTTAGCTGTTGCAAACCACAATTTCCCCACAGAGAGAGAAGTATACAGGTCTGACTTTTTTTGAAGAGATCTTTTAGCTTTTCTGCTTTTTCAAACATCATTTCCATCCAAACCTCGACAGGTATCCTTAATGAAGTCTGAAACACGCCACATTCAGTATTGAAATACTGCAAGACAAATTCATCCAAGGCTTCATCTCCTTCGCTCTTCTGATGGCTTGCACAGTAGAACCATCTGCCGGAAGCTGAGCTTTTTGTCTCCTAAACACTACAGGAAATAATTTTTTTAGGAACAAACACGAGTGGAACTTCCTGCTTGATTCCCACAGTTGTTTGAGTCTGCTTGTCTTTTGTAGCAGGTTCCTCGGACGTCGCGGCTTTGAGATTGTTTAAAACCAACAGAGTCAGCACAGCACAGTCCATTGATGTGAGCGTTGTCTTTGCTGTGAGGGGTCCAAATGTTTCACCTTTCTCCAACTGGTAAAAACAAAGTTCATTTACATCATAATTGAACGCATACCCCCAGACACGTCCTGAATCTAAATTCCATTCCTTATGAAGTGTATCGGGGGGCGGCGTCTGTATCCGACTCAAATACAACACTTGTTTCTTTGGGGCTCCTCCCGGGGTTGAGTTTTGATAACCCATTACAGGTGTCTGGCTGATCATCTTCGAATTGGCTGCTCTCTTGCTCATGTTTAGGTTGTTTTGGAATAGTTTTGTTATATGTTTCTGAATGACTATATGGACTCCTTTTATTTTCACAGACTCCCATCATTGGTCTATGGTAACCCCTCCTAGTCTCTTATCATTGGGTCACGGAAACTCTGCCCACCCCCTTATTTGTATGTGACAGCATGTGGGAGATAACTGGTGAGGGGTTGGGGCCGTTACTTCTGGTACAACCAGATTATTATATAGTTCCAAACTCTTGTCTCCGGCTGATAGAAATAGGTTCCCGTTTCAAAAACGAACTCTGTCTGATAAAACCAGACCGTTTTTTAACATCCGGAGTCTGGGTTATAGATAACCATAGTTAATAACTGGTCTACAAGATTACCCGAGGATGACAGTTAAACACACAACTTGATGTGGCTCATTGAGAAAAGAGAGGGAGGGGAGGGATGGAAGGTGCGGGGGGTGGAGCACATTCCTCAATTCACCCTGCACAGCCTATGCTACACCAGAAAGAGAGAGGACAGAGAAGAGGAGACACAGACTCTAGAAGGATTAAAGTTTTAAGACTCACAAGTTTAAGACTAGGCTACAGCTTTGGAGTGATAATGATGGCAAGTTTGTAAGACAAAACACTAGCAAAGTAATTTGGAACACTCTCTTATTTTGCTGCATGCTGTTGAAGGTAATTTATAATACTGTTTACTTTTTACTCACCGTTATACCATTTTACTGCTTTACTGTAATTATTTTAATTTATTCTTCACTTGTTTAATAATAAAGACTGACTTGATTCCAAAGAAACCTCCTACTGATCCTTTGCTGGCCCCGGAGATTCTTCCTTTACTTATAACTCACTGCTATACTTTTTAATGATAAATTTATTGCCATAAACACCTACTAGTTAATTCATTCAAGTTTTATTACTTAATAAAGTCTTTAAATCAATGGAAAAACCTCCTCCAACAGTTGGGGCGGGACCGGATGCACCCTCTTATCAGATACATACAGACATATTTCCGGTTGGGGCGGGACCGGATACACCCCTCTTATCAGTTACATACACGTATCCGGTATGGGGGCGGGACCGGAAGTAGCTGTCAAAATTAGTTTGATGGAATGTCATGTATACTTCTCTCTCCCCACTGTCAAACATGAATTTTCAAGCCAACAGCTATTGCTTCTAGGTGCTAAAACAACTGGTCTATAACTGTAATCTGTTTTCCATAAGTGTATATGACTGTATCATCAACGTAGATCTGGTGACCAACCCAGAACATGATTCAGAAAGGTTCTTTATATAAAACTAAAGAGTTTTGATCCTATAGCTCCACTCGTTTTTGGACATTTTAATGTGTAAATGTTACATATTGTATCTTGAAGTAAAATTTTAATGCTTTGCTCATAATGGAGCATTCTCTTGTCAATTTTACTTAAATAAGAAACAGCATCAAATTAAAATAAACCAATAGTGGCTGCTGATCTGGTAAATGAGGTTGTGCCTGTACAGCATCTGAGGTATTCAGTCACACCAGGTTAAACAGTTAATTATCTTTCAGAGACCTACGTGACTCCTGAATGTAGCCTCATGTATTAGCATGAGGCTACATTCAGGAGTCACAGAGGAGAGCGACCCCAAACATGTGCCTTTTCAGATTTCATAATGTGCTTCGATCTGCATCACAAAACATAATGTTATGATTTTTACTTCCTCCAATTATGTACATCAATTCTTGTTTGAAAACATTCACAGTATATCTGGAAAGCTTTCAGTGGCTGGCTGGGGAGGAAAATCAGGAGAACATAAACATCACCATCACCATATTGGGACAGCTGTGGCTCGTGGGTAGAGCAGTCGTCCGCTAACCAGAATGTCGGCGGTTTAATCCCCGGCTTCCCCAAGGCTGCATGTTGAAGTGTCCTTGGGCAAGACACTGAACCCCAACTTGCTCTGGTTGGCTGTGCCATCAGTGTGTGAAAGGAATGTTATTTCCTTGCTGATGTGCAGTTGACTTAGGCTCCCAGCCATCAATCAAAAGACTAGAAAGGCGCTATAGCATTTACATTTATTATTTAACAGTATAAACATGCTTGCCATTTTGGCCAGTTTGAATTAAATAAATGCCGCCTGTTCCCATTAGCTGTAACTAACTTGACGTGTACATCTATGTGGCACAACTTTCTTTGTTGGTTTTTTTGCTGAATTCATTTCAGAGTCTATTTAAAATCAATCAGCTATGTTGTTTTTGGTGGCTCTAATCATTCCTCCTGGCTGAAAAATCTTTCTCTCCTCACATATTAACTTAGGAAAGTATCCACAGTCCTCTTGAGCTAGAATTTCAAGTTAGTCATATCAAAGTATTTTTTTAGCTTCTATCCCTCCACTCAGAAAGGAAACAAGAGCAAGGTCATCGGTAAGGGATGTACTTGTAAAGGATCAAAATAATATTTCATTTGTGTGGTCCAGGTTTGTTGTAAAATGTCAAATATATTAAGACTCTCCTGCCTGCCTGTTTGATGAACAACCTGTTGATGTTTAACATGAGTTGCAGCTGGTCCAAAGGAGCAATCCAGTTATCTGGACTGATATATTCTTAAATTGATGTCAACATATGCCACCATTAATATTTATGGTAAACAATCTCTGAAAGTCATCTTCTCTGAACAAAAGTTATTATTGTTATTATTATAATTTATTCATAATTTATATTATAAGTTATTGAGATCAACTTTTGCTGTTGATGATGATGAAACGTTCACCCTCATCAAGCTGAGGGCTGAAATGATCTCCTGTTCACAGGCAAAAGGCACACAGCCGAGGCCAAGAGAGGAGGTACACACTGAGAAATGAGAAACGCCTGCTGACTTTTCAATATCACTAGATGTTGTTTCTAGAGCAGCAACAGCAAAGTCCCCACGTACCCTATATGCACTTTGTACAGGTTCACATGTTGCTGATGAAGTGAGACAGGCCCACTGACTCCTCTGAGGTGAGAGCCAATTAGAGCTGATCAGCAACAGCTGTGTCACCAGCATGATGGGCTTTTTAACCCTCACATGTGGCACAGGTAGCATTTCCTCTTGGTGACTGAAGCAATGGGAGCTGTTCAGGTCTTGGTTATTTGCGCGCTGACTGTTTTTCTTGCTAAAGGTTTTTATATTCCTTCTGTTTGAAGCATGTGTTGAAGAAATTGGTAGTTGTAAAGTTATGTTTGAGCCAAAATGTTTTTGCTATGAGAAGCCAATGCCTTGCTGTAACTTCTAAAAGTTTGTTCATTCCTGAAATGTTACTGTGACAAATTGATCTGTGTTTTGAAACGGCACAAACATAAATTAACAGTGAGTGCACTGTCCATAGGCTCTTGTTTGCCAGTTGGTGGCCCAAATGAAAGACATGATGGGCTGCAGAGGAGAGTAAGAGGTAAGAACACTTGTGATATATTCAGAGCGTCAGGCTGACAGTAACTGCTTTGTACTACAGAGTTGTTGCAGTGAGATGTTACAGGAGAAGATTCTACGAAACCCTACTGGTAAAATGCATGTTGGTGTAGCGCCTTAGTTCATAATCTCAATGTAGTTAATCTGAGCACACCATGTGACGTCTACAATGGCTGTCTACATCAGTCATGCAAATAAAATATGTACATACTAGAACATCATGGATGCAGTCAGTTGCATATTCTGTCATATTGCAATAAAGCCAGGGCCGCTGTGGAGCCGGCGACGACCACGCCGGGCGGGCCCACTGTGGCGACGACCACGCCGGGCGGGCCCACCGTGGTCACGCCGGGCGGGCCCACTGTGGCGACGACCACGCCGGGCGGGCCCACTGTGGCGACGACCACGCCGGGCGGGCCACTGTGGCGCCGGCGACGACCACGCCGGGCGGGCCCACTGTGGAGCCGGCGACGACCACGCCGGGCGGGCTCACTGTGGAGCCGGCGACGACCACGCCGGGCGGGCTCACTGTGGAGCCGGCGACGACCACGCCGGGCGGGCTCACTGTGGAGCCGGCGACGACCACGCCGGGCGGGCTCACTGTGGAGCCGGCGACGACCACGCCGGGCGGGCTCACTGTGGAGCCGGCGACGACCACGCCGGGCGGGCTCACTGTGGAGCCGGCGACGACCACGCCGGGCGGGCTCACTGTGGAGCCGGCGACGACCACGCCGGGCGGGCTCACTGTGGAGCCGGCGACGACCACGCCGGGCGGGCTCACTGTGGAGCCGGCGACGACCACGCCGGGCGGCTCACTGTGGAGCCGGCGACGACCACGCCGGGCGGGCTCACTGTGGAGCCGGCGACGACCACGCCGGGCGGGCTCACTGTGGAGCCGGCGACGACCACGCCGGGCGGGCTCACTGTGGAGCCGGCGACGACCACGCCGGGCGGGCTCACTGTGGAGCCGGCGACGACCACGCCGGGCGGGCTCACTGTGGAGCCGGCGACGACCACGCCGGGCGGGCTCACTGTGGAGCCGGCGACGACCACGCCGGGCGGGCCCACTGTGGAGCCGGCGACGCTGCCGAGCTGGGCCAAAAAGGGCATCTGGTGGCCTTTCATCAAGAAGCCATAAAAGTATGGGACTAGGAACCATGCAGGAGTTCACTTGCATCCAAGGTTTTGCTTTTTGCCTCTGCTTTAAATAAAACTATGAACTTGCTTTTGTTTCCTCAGATTTAATGAAAAGGCTCACTGACAACAGCCTATGGTTTCCAACAAATCCCTGTATTGGCTGTTTAAACCAGGAGAGCTTTCTGAGTTTAGCCAATTGCATCAATTCCGCTCAAAGGGTTGCTGCTGCCAGGATACTAACCACAAAGATGTGTTCAGCTTGTGTTTTAGAAGCTAAATGTTGACTCGTTTCAGCTGGCAAGTTTCCAGTCTGCCCTGTCACGTTTATAGGCTACAATTTGTAGTAGGCCTTTTGCTGCTTCACTACGGTCTGCAGCACTTACAATTACTGAAAGCAGCCTCTCAAAGTAAACTGTTAAATGCATGAATGCAATACACACCGAAATCACATGCGCTGATAAAGAAATGACTGTGCAGTTGCAGGTAAAACTAGTTCTGGTGATTGCCCAGTCTACATGCGGGTTCCAAAACGTCCAAGCAGATTCACACATCAAATTCTTATTGTGACCTGACAAGTGCAGACAGCAGCTAACGTCATTATTGGGCTATTACAATGAGCATCCTCATAGCACCCATTATGTGGTCGGCACATGTCATTCCAAAAGTATAGTCCTGTGACCACAGGTGGCACATCCTGTCTAAAAATGATGCAGGAAAAACTAGTCCATGCATTTGTTACTTCTAGGCTGGATTACTGCAATTCCTTATCAGGCTGCTCGAAAAAGTCCGTTAAGACTCTTCAGCTGATCCAGAATGCTGCAGCACGTGTTCTGACAGGAACCAGGAAAAGAGATCACATTTCTCCTGTCGACGTCATTACACACTAAGAGGGGACTAAAAAGTGAACAGGGGCCATTTTTTAGGTTCCTTGTTGGACATGCTTTAAATCATGTCTAAAACCATCTGGTAAATTTTTTAAACTATTGTCAAGAGGGGACCTGCAGGTGTGTGAGTGTTTAAGTCCATACTCAGAAGTGCCTCTAGTGGATCAAGCAGAGATTTTAATGACTCATTCACACACGTCGTTCTTAACACTCCCCTATAGAGTGAATGGCTTGCAGCCCCAGGGAGTCTATCAGACTGTAGAGGGGCTATTATACAAGCTACTCAGTAAAGAAAGCTGTCTCTTGAAACACAATTTCTTAATTTTTTCTAACAAAATATAAAGGCTGAGTTTTAGTCGATGTCTTGTGTTTTAAGATCAACATGTATTAAAATAAAGGGTTACACTGACGGCCTGGAGAGTAAAACGAATTTTAGATTCTAAATAAGGGAACAAAAATAGAAAAACAACCAGGGTAGAATAATAAATAAAATGGTCAGTATAAAGATACTTTTATGGTTTTAATTCATTATAAAAATGAATTAATTAATAAAAAATTATTTGACATCTAGAGATTTAAACTTGTTCAGTCGCAAAATACTAACCTGACCAGATTTCACAAGCACTGGACATCAATACTTTTTCCCCCATTATATTTGTGTGCTTGGTCTACACTTAAAGATATACATTTCATTTATTGATTTGAATTACAGAAAAAGGGACCACACTTGTACTGTGTGGAACGACAGGAGTCCACTGTTCGCTTGTACATGATGACACAAGTTCCCTCTTAGATAGCATGGAGCGATAATCACACTCCAACTTGTGTGAAAATAATAAATAAGCAAATTTAATCATACTTTTGAAACAAAATAAACTAACTAAATAGTCTCTTTATTTTTTATACATTCTTTGGAAACAAAATATAAAGGCTGAGTTTTAGTGGATGTCTTGTGTTTTAAGATCAACATGTATTAAAAAAGGGCTACACTGAAGGCCTGGAGAGTAAAATGAATTTAGATTCTAAAAACCAGAACAAAAATAGAAAAACAACCAGGGTAGAATTAGAAATAAAATGGTCAGTATAAAGATACTTTCTTTACGGTTTTAATTAATTATAAAAAATGTATAATTAATAAAAAATATTTGACATTTGACATCTAGAGCTTTAAACTTGTTCTGTCCCAAAATACTAACCTGGCCAGCTTTCACAAGCACTGGACATCAATACATTTTTTTTTTCATTATATTTGTGTGCTTAGTCTACACTTAAAGATATACATTTCATTTATTGATTTGCATTACAGAAAAAGGGACCACACTTGTACTGTGTGGAACGACAGGAGTCCACTGTTCGCTGGTACATGATGACACAAGTTCCCTCTTAGATAGCATGGAGCGATAATCACACTCCAACTTGTGTGAAAATAATAAATAAGCAAATTTAATCATAATTTTGAGACAAAATAAACTAACTAAATAGTCTCTTTATTTTCTATACAGTTTTTTAAATCAAAATAAAAGGCTGAGTTTTAGTGGATGTCTAGTGTTTTAAGATCAACATGTATTAAAATAAAGGGCTACACTGAAGGCCTGGAGAGTAAAATGAATTTTAGATTCTAAAAACCGGAACAAAAATAGAAAAACAACCAGAGTTGAATTATAAATTAAATCATTAGAGGTAAGATACTTTCTATTCAGTTTTCATTAATTGTTAAAAAAGTATTTCACATCAGACTTTGACTACAGCTTTAAACTTGTTCAGTCCTAAAATACTATACTGACCAGTTTTCACAACCACTGAATGTCCAACCTGTGTGAAAATAATAAATAAACAAATTTAATCATACTTATGAGAAGAAACTAACTTAACTACAGAGTGTCTTTATTTGGTATAATCTGTTATTGTAAGAAAATATAAAGCCTGAGTTTTTATTGAAGTTATTTTCAACAAAATACAAAGGCTGAGTTTTAGTGAAATTCCTAAATTGTTTCAAGCTTCAGACTACTAAAATGATAGACTACCCCGTAGACAGCAGAATGAGTATTTTAAAAGCACAAAAAAAGTGAAAGTAAAACAAAATGAATACAAAGGTCAGCTGCAAATCTCTTCATTTTTAATCAATAGATTTAATGCTGTTAATTATCATGATACATGACCAGTGTTTGTATGTGTCATAAATCTATATTTAGGAAGTTGTTGCTTGCAAACACATTGACAACAGACCTGTCTGTCAATTGAATAGTTTCCTAAACACCGCTGCACAAATCTATCCAACACAACGTTGTCAATGTCGGAGACCCACCTTCAAAAAAGTTATCAGCAAGCATGTAAGGAGCCTACCAAATAAGGATAGCTATGTTAATTTTAGAATACAGCTGTCAAAGTTAGCACGCTGTGCATAACTGGTAGTCAGTAGGTGTGTCCGAGATGACTGTGGCTGACTTTCACCGACTTGATAGTCTAAGTGAGCTGCAGGCGACTGCAGGGGCGGGGTATAAAAACAGCGTTGTCAAGTCAGACGCAATCTACCTCTGGTAGACTGTGTGATCTTACTGTAAGCTTAGACCAATGATCAGGCAAAAGGTGGTTCCAACTTTGTGCAGCCAGAGAAAAGCTACTGATGAGACATCATGGTGACGTTTTGCAGCTCACATTAGACTATCAAGTTGACTGCAACATTCTGCCTATTTGACTAAAAATTATTTAGTAAAGTAATTATAGCATAAAACTGTAACTGAAACCTTCAAGAGCCTGAAGTTTAATCCTGAAGGTGAGACGACATGAAATCCAGAGGCAAACTCCTTCCCTTGGTGATCAAGTATTACAAAGCTAATTAGCAACTATTGTACAGTTGAAATCACATCATGTCGAAACTAAAGTGTGAAATGTTGAAAAGGTTAGTTTAGCTACAAATGAACAAGTTCATATGTGCGTGTTTAGGTTTTATGATGTGGTATTTAAGGTGCTAAATGAAGCCTGTCTCTGAAAAATTGAAAATCATTCTAAAAACTCATACAGAATGCTTCAGCAGTACATTTGTTCTTAGCCTTAGAGAAAGGTCCAAGAGACATTCAGACACACTTTACAAATAATATGAAATAAGCAAAATGGACAATTCTTAAGAAAAAATGATAATCTAAACCAAATATATAAGCTGTAGTGTGGTTGTTTTTGTTTTTTAGTAAAGTGTCACCAGCAATGTTCTCATTGTAGCTTTTTGAAATGTGGGGTTAAACATTTGTTGGCGAATAGAGAAGCATATTTGAGGGCTGTAAAATGGTGCAGCATCGTAACAATGGAACTTAGAGTTTGCATCAAG